AGGCCATTTTCCCGAAAATGCTAAGTTGTACAGATTATGTGTTGATGGAACCCACCTATGTGAAACTGATAGGATTCAGGTAGTAGAGAAAGTACCCCTCTCTCAAGGGTTTCCTTGATATTACTGTCTCAGTGTAGCTTAACACTCCATTTGCACCATGAAAATTTCTTAGTGAATTAATGTCTTTAATGAAAGTTTAACGTCTGTACGTTTGATAAATGAGTATGGAAACTGTTACCAGACACCCATCAAAAGAGGAAAACAACACTTAAACCAAGTCCTCCTGTTAGCAGAAACTGTGGCGAGGTGAGAGAGCACACAGGTTAAAAGGGATATACTTCTTCTTGCCCCATTTTCTGAATCCCTCAGGGATTTTTGGAGACTAGACTTGAGGGAGGTTGGGGGTTTGGCTGGCTGGTTCATACCCCTAACCTGACTTGCTAAGTGAGCACCTTACGCCTAGATAGGTAATCTGGTTCTCCATCAGCTGACCATTGTTTCATGTCTGGTGGATACAGACCCCACGGAGGGAGGGGGGCACTGTTCCCTGGGCTGCCCAGGAGACAGTGGGAGAACTCAGCCACTGTGGGATGCACTGGTCTACACGCTGTGTGTTTATGGGTGTCTGTGTTGTAATAGGTCAGGTTTGCTGGGAAGTAGGCGGTGGACATTGGGTGCTGGGGAGGGATGGTGTCAGAGGGAGAAGCTGACTGTGATGTAGGCACAGAGGCCAGTCTTCTGAGTGCACTCTAGCCAGGTTAGGGCTTTAGCAGTTTCCTGACCGGAGGACAAGAGATCTGGGCCTTTTATGCCTGTAGCAATCAATCAGTGCATGTGGGATGAACCCAAAAGAATGTGTGTGACCTTAGGAGAGGGGCCCTCGTCATCTTGAGGATCAGGCCAGGAAGCTGTCTGCTCCCAAAACGTTGGGGGGCTGAGTGCTGCAGCAGATGACAGCATCCACTACACTGCTATCCAGTGAGATGAACACTTAAGAACAAATACATTTAGCCTAGGTGTATGTTGGTCTTAGCTCTCTGAACCAGATGCCTGTGCCAGCATAGAAGTTATAAGAACAGAAAAATTCAAGTATCAATTTTTAGAGGCATTCTACCTTTTCAAGAGTCAGGGAAGAATCAGCCTTCTCAGACCTCACTCTTTTCAGCTCTCCTCCATGTTAGATGCTCTGCTCTGCACTTCTTGGTACTCATCACTGTTAATATCCTACAACACTGTTTTTGTCTCTCCCACCTGCATGTGAGGTGAGCTTTTGAGTCCCTGCCCTATTGATTGCATGTACTAGAACCTAGTACAGTCTCTCTCAATACTGGTTGAGTTGGAAGCCTCAGCTCTGACTCCCTCAAATAGCAGACAGCTATCCTTGATGGCACATGTCTAAAATTGTCTTTGGCTAAGGAGATAAAAATTTGGCACCTTGAATCTTCTGTTAAAACCAGCCACTGGCCCTCCCTGGTGGCGCAGCGGGTTAAAGCACAGCACTGAGAATCTAAGACAGCTTCCGCATGAGTTCGACTCCCGCCTGCCCCGGAGGTGACCACATGGCGCGGCAGACCTCTCCTGACCCGCCCACTGCTCCCCTCAGCAGTGTACTTTGTCGATCTGCCTGTTCTGCTCCCCACTCTGTCTCTGGTGAAGCCTCTCACCCTCCGCATCTCTGGCCTGTACCCAGTTCTGTATGCATAAATAAATAAATCTTTAAAAAAAAAACAAAAAACCAGCCACCATGGTGACAGTAGCCATGTGACCTGATCTACCTTGTTGGGCTTTGTTTTTTATCTAGCAAAGTTCATCTGGTTATGGATGATAAGTTAAGTTCCAGTAGAGTCTCAAATGTTATCCAGCCCATCTATCTGTAGAATCTTACAACTTCTGTACATCTTTTTTTTTTCCTCTTTCCAAATATTTTTATCAGTATACTGTCTTCTGCCTTAACATTTTCTAATGATATTGAATTAGTACTCTAAATGTACTTTAACAAATGACTTCACAGAATTAGATTGCCAAAGTCACTTGTATCTAATGGAAAATATGTGAAAAAGAAAATCTGCCTGAGAGTAAGAACAGTAAAGCGTTTGGCTTTTACCTCTGTTGGTTTAGGTTGAAGTACAATTTGATTTAATACCAGTAAATATATTATTTCATTTACAGTAATTTGTTCTTGCTAATATTTATGAAAGGGTATTTCTAATTTATATAGTTGGGGGCAACAGTGACTTACCAGTGTTTTTGAAATTTGTGACCTTGAGCATTTGAAAATTCAAAATTGTTTCCAGGTTAGCAAATTTGTTTGGTGACTATGGAAAATCTCTGGTTGTGATAGAGTTACAATGAAAAAGATGAGTTTAATTGGCATCCCAACAGCGGTGCATCTTGGGACTTCTGCCTTAGATTAAATATAAACTGCTACAACTGTTTGCTCCAGCCAGAAATGCTGAGAAAAACTCATTAGATGTGCTTGAAACAGTTGTCATTGAAGGTTTACTGTGATTCTTACAATGAGTTTTACTGCTTTATCTTTTCTGTTGGCTGAATCAGTACCATTGAATAAACCAGCATTTATGATTGATGTAGCATGACCTTAAGCACTAAGCTATAAAGATGTACATAAAGGACAAGAGAGCAAAAATATGAAATAGTATTAATGACACTGCTTTCTGTTAGAGTTAATGAAATAATAATTGAGAGGTTGCTGATGATATTCTCTTAGAGGACAACTTGAAAATAGGTGGAATTAAATTCTAGACATTGCTTTATTAGCTATACATATGATAAGCTTGAGGGAAATGTATAAAAGGATAGAAGTAGAATTTTATTAACAAAGAACAAAGAGGACAGAAAGAAAGAAGCAAGGTGAACCGACTATTCCAAATTAAGAACATGGAAGCCAGTATATCAGCAGTAACAGTGAGCGAAAATAGAAGACAGATTCTTAAATTGCATTTTGAAAACTAAATTAAGTCATGTTCAGTATCAAGATCCCCTTTAAAGATAAAGAGAGGTCACTGGGAATTACATTGAGTATGAGAATGGACAAAAAACCTAATGTAAGTCAGAAATGAATGTGTGGTTTCTTCAAAACTGTTTGACCATCTTTGAAGAGCCTAATAAGGAACTAGAGAAAGATGAATAAATGTACCTGATTCATTCGCTTTTATATGTAGATTGCAACAAAACCTCAAATAGCAAAATAGACTGCTTTAATACTCAAAAGTGACACCAAGAAGGAGCAGCCAAATTAACCGAAATTTGTAGAATCTTTTCTGAAACTGTATTATACTTGGATTCCTACTTCTATTTTACAAGTGTAAATTACCTCTGTGCTTTGACATAATCTTTTTTTCCAAGAAATCGGTGTTTAACTTACTATAACCTCCATGGTGTTGCCAGTTGTTTAAAAACGCTCGACGTTTTAGCCCTGCATAGCTGGTCTCCTGAAACAACTGCGGCTAGAAAGTGAGTGGGCATTTGTAGTGAGCTGCAGTCTGACTCCTCCACATCTGCAAGTTGGCCACTGCCAGTGGGTACAACCCTAAGTATTCCACACTGGGCTCTTGTTTAAGTAGCCTGCAGCCAACCCCAGGGCGCCCCACTGCCGTGTCAGGGTGTGTGAGCCAGTGCAGCACAGCACAGGGCGCGTTAAGCTGGGCAGTTTGACCTCTACGCCAAAGAACAGCAGCTCAGGTATCCGTCAAAGCATTATTGGATAGGAAGTGAAAGCAATAAAAATAGCCTCGTGTGTAATGAGACAGGTGGAAGTACATCGAAATTATGTTTTTTTATTAAACACAGCATTGTATTTTTAATTAGTTCTATTTTAACTACGTTTTAAGTATACATGAGATATACCCTGTGAAATGTAAATATCCAATATGAAATCTAAAACAGGTTTTAAAAAGCAAAGGCATAATGGCAGATTTTTTTCTGTGATAAACAGCTGGGAAAGGACAGAAGAGAAAAGGCAGCTGTGTGCAGACCTCCGTCAGGACCGCTTACTGTGAGAGCCGAGTGCTTCTGCTTAGTGGTCGGTCTTACCTGGCATAGAGAGGAAGAAGTTCACAGAGCATTACTGTCTCTCTGAAGTAAAGGTCCAAAAATTAGAACTCAGGAAAACTGTAGTCAGGGACATTTGCAGGCAGATGTGTGTGTGTGTGTGTGTGTGTGTGTGTGTGTGTGTGTGTGTGTGTGTGTGTGTGTGTTCTAAATTAGTAAGAATTAGTAAAATGGGACAAACACATTCATTTTAGGTTTACTTTGTTCTCTCTAACAAGGTTTTCTTAAACCTATCTTTTAGTCATCTCGATCCCAGTATGTCAGAAAAATGCCTGTGCATGTCTTTTATGGTACTAAACAGGAAAGTCTTAGCAAAAACAGTGTCAATAAAAATCTACTGCAGCAAACAAATTATGGTTTTGAGTTGCCAAAACTTATACATCCTTTCCAACTATATTTTTTTCATTCTGTGCCATTTTTAAAAATTGTAATTTTTTTTTTTTTTATTGAGGTAGCTGGGTTACAACACTGTATATGGTTTTGGGGAATAGGTTCACACCTCTGCAGATGAACTCAGTATAATTTTTAAAAACCAGTACTGATTATGTAATTGTATTTCATTTGCTTTAATTGCTATTTTAAATGTTATTTTAAATGTAGCCCATGAACACCCTTCAAGGTAGGAATATTACTATTCAAAATGACAGCTTGCATATATTTTCAGTTAATGAATAGACTTTCCGTAGACTGAATCATAACACTATACTGATACTTTCTGCTTAAAAAATTCATTGTTAAAATATGGTTGAGTGAAATAAGTCATTATTGATGTTCTATCTTTTTGTCTGATAACTTTTCCTATCCAGGCACAAATTTGGAGTAAATATACTGACTTTTAAGGTTTTTCCTTCATTTCTTTACTTAATCGCTGTGCTCTTCTAAACAACTATTCTGATGGGCCCTCTGCACTGTTTTTGTTTCCTCCACAGTTGTCAGACGATGGCCGCTATGTCTTGTTATCCATAAGGGAGGGGTGTGACCCAGTAAACCGACTCTGGTACTGTGACCTGCAGCAGGAACCCAATGGCATCACTGGTAAGTTTTCCCAAATACAGACCATTGTTCCAGGAAGCTCCATTACAAAGCCATTATTTCACTCTTTCAGTTGGTTTCCTAAGACTAATTAACTGCATCATCTCGTTTATAATTTTTTCTTCTTCTTGGCAATACTCTATAAAATAAAAAAGAAAAAGTTGAATGAAATGCCTTTAGCATTTCATGTATAGACTGAGGTTAATGTGAGGATGCATATATCCTGGGAGCACTGCAGGTAGAGTGATAAGGAGAAACATTGTCTGCGAAGCATTTTGTATGTCCAGATGTGATGGTGCGAACTGTCAATGGCTAAAGATATCAGACCATTGAGAATTTACCAAGTTACTAGGTGACAGCCGGGTTTTGCTTCCTGAAGCTTGTGTATATCATGATCGGGAACAAAGAACCAGACAGCTACCGATTCTGGAGATGATTCATTTTAAAGGTGGTTTTCTTCGAATGTCTGTATCATACCAGTATCATAATTAATTAAAGTTTGCCAGCTGATGTAAAGTCAGACAGAATAACGTTCAGAGATATGCTTGATACCCAGATAAGGAGCCCTAGACCAAATAGACCATGCTCTGATTCATGTGAAATAAAAACATTTCAGAGGTGGTTGACACAGTTTTTCAAGCTATACAATATTAACTGCATTTCTGATTATGAATTAGAGTATCTCATTATTGGTTTCCTATCTATATTAAACTGTGACAAGCAAATATACTGTAGTGTTAAGTAAATATCCAGTTATTAAAGCAACTTTGTTTTGTTTAAAAAATAGCATCTGCCTATTTTGATCTCAAAAAAAAAAAAAAAACGCATCAACCACATCAGTTCTCACAAAGCATCACCCACAAATTATTCACTGGTGTTGCAAGTCTAGTTCTGCATAGAACAAAGCACATTTCTTAAGATCAAATATGGAAGAAGCCCTGATAATGTTCTTCCTTCAGAGAATGCTGCTTTGACTCCCAACTATTATTTCATTGTATCTTTAGCTACTAGGTGGGCTTGTTACTGAAAGATACAAGTTTCAATTAAAAAAAATACACACACATTTCTTGATTTGCTCTACAGGCAGAGAAGAAAATTTCATCCAAATAGTCATACACAGAACTTCTGTGGCTGTTTCACTTTAGCAGTGCTTTGAATGGAACTCACAAGTGCTTGAAGTAGTGGGGGAAACCGTTTTCTTCCTGATCTTTTTTTCCCACCTGTACTTTTTATACACCCCTTCCTCCAATGTATTATTGTAGCTTTAATGAGGAATTAGAGAAGGGGATGTGTAACCCATAGGTGGGGATTTTGAAAGGAAGCCAATGCAGGGACACACCCTTGAAAAACAAAATTCTAGATAGTACAAGCCATACGTGAACTTGAACAACAAAAAGGGAAGCTCTTAAGAAGCCCTAAAAGGAATGATGCTTTCCAGTTGGAAGAACTGATTTAAAAAATAAGCCATGTCCTGGCCTGCTTTCCCAACTTGATCTTTCCTTGAGTTACGTGGCCCTTATCTTCCCTCCTCTGACTGGTTTTGTGCAGCCGAAGTGGAGAGATCAGTACAGAGCAAGCATGCAGTAAATACAGTAGATTTCCAAATTGTTCTCTTTGTTTCTTCCAGAGGCTCTTTAAGAGCATGTGTTGTGAACTGAGCAAAGTTCCAGCTGTGTGCTTGATTAGGACTATGCATAAAACTATAAATTTGAGACTCGGTCAGAGCTATATAAGGAGTGTATTTTGGGTTTGGGAGATAGAGACTGTTTGTGACTGTAACTGTTAAATTTTACCCAGAGAAGCATAGCCAGCAGGAGGTATATGTTAAGAAATTTAATGTAAGGTATTGGCTGACCTGACCTGACCTGACCTGACCTGGTGGGGGGCTGGCTAGGTAAAGCTGGCATCAGTGGGGTGACTAACACTGCTGTGCACAGGTGGAATTTCTTATCCTGTTAAGCCTCGGTTCCCCACCAGGGCTTTCCTGCTGTCGGAATCAGGCCCACCTAGAGTCTCTAAAATAATCTCCTTTACTAAGCCAACTTAGGGTCTTTAAACTCATCTGCAAAGTACCTTCACAGTAACACCTGGGTTAGTGTTTGATTGATTAACCAGGGATATTAACACAACTAAACTGACATGTCAACAAGACCCTCACAGTGAGCTCATGGGAAACCACACAGGGAGGGAAAAAAAACAAGTCTTATGATTCTAACCTAATTTCACTTTTTAAAAAGGTTTCCTAACTGAACAGTAGTTGGAATACATTGAAACATTTTTAGACTAGTATTTAATATCCTGTAGGGGAAAAAAGCAGACTTTGGCATGAGCAATGGAATAGTCACATTTGGAGCAGTCGATCTGCATATTGACAGGACCTAGTGTCACAGGCCCTTACTGATAGCTGCTAGATTCTGGATACAGCACCGGGCCTGGCACTGTCTTTAAATTACTGCTTTATTAGCATTAAATGTGGCTGTGTAAACCCAAGTAGTTATTCTTAAATGGCAGGCGCAGGGCAGAAATGGCAGGAAGCCTGTGAGAGTGGCAGTGGTTGGCTGGTCTAAAAGGGTGAAGTGTCACCAAGTGACTCTTGGAAAATTATTTTCTCCTAATATTTCATGATGGCATATAGGGATATAGTATCTACTGCATAAGGATCTGTGAAGACTAATGAAAATACATACAAAAGGTTTAAAAGGGCTCCTGACATGTAACATCTCAGGCGTTCCTTAGTTTGTTTCTTGACCAGAAGATGAATATTCGGAATCTTCTTGCTATGGCTTTAGGTAGCATAGTAAAGTTGAATGTGGATGCCCCAAGAAAACATTTCAGTTGCAAAGCTACTCCAGACACACATCTTGGTATTGATTTGTATTTCTCAAAACCCTATTTATAATCAGAAGAATCTTTTCATGAAGAAAACAAATAGCAGTGCCTCTTGTGGGAGGCTGAAGGAAATTGTTTCATTTCTCAGGTTGATAATTGATATTGCAAGATTTATATGTCTAGGGTCCTTTTCTTGATTTTTCTTATGGCTATCCCACTTTATTTTCCTTAGCAACTAAGAGAACAATTAACATTTAAGTTGAATGCTGTGTGTGCTGGTTAACTTATATATTAGATGAGTTAGACCTGAATAGCTTACAACTGAAAACTAAAGCCAGTGTTATGAAATCTTTAATTTTGTATTGCTGAAATGTATACCCCTTTTGATAATCTAAAGCCTTTCTGCTGTGATTTTTAGTCTTTTTATCTTGAGGCAGGGGAGTTAGATTTTTCATATACACTGATTGTTTATTATGTAATTACTAAATTATTTGTCTCAAAAACTAAATGATTTCACATACTTTTTTTTTTCTTTTAAAGATTTTATTTATGCATGTAGAACTGGGTACAGGCCAGAGGTGCAGGGGCGGTGAGAGGACTCACCAGAGACAGAGCAGGGAGCAGAACAGGCTGGCTGATGAAGTACACTGCTGAGGGGAGCAGCGGGCGGGTCAGGAGAGGTCTGCCGCACCATGTGGGTCACCTCCGGGGCAGGCGGGGATCGAACGCATGCTGAAATGGCTTAAGCTTCTTAGTGCTGTGCTTTAACCCGCTGCACCACCAGGGAGGGCCACTCACATAGACTTTTATTTTCAAATATTCTGTCATCTTTATCTCCCATGGAAACCTTTTTGTACCTATGCATTTTGAAGTGCAAAACATAAAACGTGACCCATGGTAACTTAATGTCATAGGAAAAGACAACACGTAAAACAAATCTATACAAACAGTGGATGGTCCAGTGTACATTTAGTCATGTACATTTGTCATGTCAATCGTAAGTTCTCTCTGGCTTGCTGCTCGCCCTCCTCCAGTTATCCTTTGCCTCTTTGTAGAGAACTGGTTTCTACCACGTTCATTGTCAGTCTTTTCACTTAAGAGTAATGTGAATGTGACATGGCACGCTGGGCTGCAGTCGGGCCCGTGGCTGCAGCTGCTCTCCTCACTCCCCTCCTGGAAATGGCACCAGCCTGTCAACAGGGCCACAGTTGTTTGTATGACATCCACATGATCACCACCACCACTCATACCCCCTCCAACGAGTCCTGAAGCTCCTTCTCTAAAGACATCTTCCTCGTCTCTCTCGTCTTGCTTTTGAGGGGAAAGAAATCTCTACCCCAGATTTAATCTTGCTCCCTCCTGTGCTGGCTATTACCTTTCCCTGGTTGCCTTTTCTCCCTTTAACAAGAGCAGATGTGAGGACGTAGGAGTTGCACAGTATCGGGGCCTTTCCATCTTGCTCCCCCCGGGGGGGGGGGGTGGTCCCCAGCACCTAGAACAATGCCTAACTGGTCTCATTGATCAAATTTTAGTCAGCTCCCCAGGACCCTCTTCTCAACTAGATCTCAGCCCCAGTACTCGGCGCCCACGCCCACACGGCTCTGTAGCCCAGCTACTAAGTGAGTTTAAAGCAAAACCCCTCCCCTCTTGACATTTCATCTTCTTATTTGATCACATCCCCACCCACCAGGTCATATCTGATTACCTGGTGCTGTCTTCACCAAGGATTCTGTAAGGTCAGTGTAGCACCATGCCTTGATGTCTCTTGGTCATTATCCATCCATTCCGGAATGAGAGTCCCCTTATTCTGTCCCTGGGCTATACAGTCCCAGCTCTCTTTACTGTATTTGAATTTCAGTCGATCTCTCTGTCTCTTAACAAGATGTTTTTGACAACTGCAGTTAGTCTTGAATACAGCCTTGTTTACCTTTTTAATGAGTGTCAGAAGTTTTTAACAGCTAGGCAGCTTCTCTTGATGTGGCTTCACCAGCCCCATAAGACTCAGGTGACCTTGCTTGATGCGTCATCCTCCATCGGTAACTGATCATTTTTGATCTTTATGCCTTTGACTCTGTTATAATCACAGTTTAGTCCTTTATTAAATCCTGACAGTGATAAATAGGCACATCATTTTTCTGGCCCTATATGTTGTACAAGCAGATTTCTTCTTTTTT